GGATTACTGCTCAGCTTTTAACACCATCCTTCCACACAAACTGGTGGCCAAGCTACAAGACCTGGGGCTTCCAGACAGCACCTGCATGTGGATCAATAGCTTCCTCTCGGGCCGTAGACAGAGAGTCAGAGTTGGCCATCACACATCCTCAGCCCTGAGTCTCAGCACTGGCTCACCCCAGGGCTGTGTGCTCAGTCCACTGCTCTACTCTCTCTACACACACGACTGCACTCCTCGCCACCACAGCAACATCTTTGTGAAATTTGCAGATGACACCACAGTGGTGGGGCTCATTTCCAAGGGAGACGAGTCTACGTACAGAGACGAGGTGGAGCAGCTGACGTCATGGTGTAAGGCCAATAACCTCCTCCTCAACACTTCAAAAACCAAAGAACTCATAATAGACTTCAGAAGGAAAAAGGCAGAGATCCAACCACTATTCATAAATGGGGACTGTGTAGAAAGGGTGGCAAGCTTCCGCTTCCTGGGAGTCAATATAGAGGAGAACCTTTCCTGGAGTGTGAACACCTCCGAGCTGCTGAAAAAGGCCCAACAGAGACTGTACTTCCTGAGAATTCTCAGGAGGAATAACATCACACAGAGACTGCTGGTGTCCTTCTACAGAGCCACCATTGAGAGTGTTCTAACTTACTGCATATGCATCTGGTACACTAGCTGCACAGGGGCTCAGAGGAAAGCACTCCAAGGGATCATTAACACTGCCCAAAAGATCACTGGCTGCCCTCTCCCCACACTGGAAGTTCTACACAACGCCCACTGTTTTAAAAAGGCCCAAAACATCATAAAAGACACCTCACATCCTGGCCACTCCCTGTTCGAACTGTTGCCCTCAGGCAGACGGTACAGGGCAATCAGAGCAAGGACTAATAGACTCAAACACAGCTGTTATCCAACTGCAATAACACATCTGAATACTACAAAAAAATGTCCATCACGCCACTCTTGTGTTAATCTATGCACGGTCTGAAGCATGTGTGTGAGAATGTATGTGAATGTTTTACTGTTATATCTTATTAGTATTTTAAGAATTCTATCTATTTTATTTATTGAATTTTATTGTTTTATTTATATTTTGATATTGCTAGGGATGATGCAATGATCGGGGACCATTCTTCATTTCGTTGTTCTCATGACAATGACAATAAAGTTTCTGATTCTGATTCTGTTTGCAGATGACATTTTGGTTTACTTATCAAAACCTACCGAATCACTTATGGAGCTCATGTCAGTGTTAAAGGAGTATGGGCTATACTCGGGATATAAATTGAATATACAAAAAACACAAGTTCTTAGTAGCTTTTATAGCCCTCCCCAGAATCTGCTCAACAAATACAAACTAAGCTGGGACAAAAGAACTATCCAATATCTGGGCATAAACTTATCAATGGATATAACTAGCTTGGAAGAAATCAACTACCCCCTACTTAAAAAAGATATCATGCTAAATATTAGCAGATGGTCTATCTAAGCATTTCTTCTAGAGTGGACATCATAAAAATGAATATGCTCCCAAAGATATTAAACTTATTCCAGTCTGTTTCTATAGAAAACCCTGATAGATACTTTGTAGAGTGGGATAGGACCCTCTCAAGATTTATATGGGCGGGTAAAAAGCCAAGAGTTAAGTTCAAAACACTTCAGCTTCCCAAAGATAAAGGAGGATTAGGCATCCCTTGCCTACAGGATTACTACAGGGCAACACAAATAAGAAATCTGGTGGCTAGTGTAAACCCGGATACTGTTCAACAGAGAGACGAATCTGGCATTAATATCTGACATCACAACAGAGAGACGAATCTGGCAATAATATTTGACATCACAACAGAGAGATGAATCTGGCATTGATATCTGACATCACAACAGAGAGACGAATCTGGCATTGATATCTGACATCACAACAGAGAGACGAATCTGGCATTAATATCTGACATCACAACAGAGAGACGAATCTGGCATTAATATCTGACATCACAACAGAGAGACGAATCTGGCATTAATATCTGACATCACAACAGAGAAACAAATCTGGCATTAATATCTGACATCACAACAGAGAGACGAATCTGGCATTGATATCTGACATCACAACAGAGAGACAATCTGCATTAATATCTGAATACAACAGAGAGACGAATCTGGCATTGATATCTGACATCACAACAGAGAGACGAATCTGGCATTGATATCTGACATCACAACAGAGAGACGAATCTGGCATTGATATCTGACATCACAACAGAGAGACGAATCTGGCATTGATATCTGACATCACAACAGAGAGACGAATTTGGCATTAATATTTGACATCAGAACAGAGAGACGAATCTGGCATTAATATTTACATCACAACAGAGAGACAAATCTGGCATTAATATTTGACATCACAACAGAGAGACGAATTTGGCATTAATATCTGACATCACAACAGAGAGACGAATCTGGCATTGATATCTGACATCACAACAGAGAGACGAATCTGGCATTGATATCTGACATCACAACAGAGAGACGAATCTGGCATTAATATCTGACATCACAACAGAGAGACGAATCTGGCATTGATATCTGACATCACAACAGAGAGACGAATCTGGCATTGATATCTGACATCACAACAGAGAGACGAATCTGGCATTGATATCTGACATCACAACAGAGAGACGAATCTGGCATTGATATCTGACATCACAACAGAGAGACGAATCTGGCATTGATATCTGACATCACAACAGAGAGACGAATCTGGCATTGATATCTGACATCACAACAGAGAGACGAATCTGGCATTGATATCTGACATCACAACAGAGAGACGAATCTGGCATTGATATCTGACATCACAACAGAGAGACGAATCTGGCATTGATATCTGACATCACAACAGAGAGACGAATCTGGCATTGATATTTGACATCACAACAGAGAGATGAATCTGGCATTGATATCTGACATCACAACAGAGAGACGAATCTGGCATTGACATTTGATATCACAACAGAGAGATGAATCTGGCATTGATATTTGACATCACAACAGAGAGACGAATCTGGCACTAATTTTTGACATCACAACAGAGATACGAATCTGGCATTAATATTTGACATCACAACAGAGAGACGAATCTGGCTTTGATATTTGACATCACAACAGAGAGACGAATCTGGCATTGATATTTGACATCACAACAGAGAGACGAATCTGGCTTTGATATTTGACATCACAACAGAGACACGAATCTGGCATTAATATTTGACATCACAACAGAGAGACGAATCTGGCATTAATATTTGACATCACAACAGAGACACGAATCTTTCATTGATATTTGACATCACAACAGAGAGACGAATCTGGCATTAATATTTGACATCACAACAGAGAGACGAATTTGGCATTGATATCTGACATCACAACAGAGAGACGAATCTGGCATTAATATTTGACATCACAACAGAGACACGAATCTGGCATTAATATTTGACATCACAACAGAGAGACGAATCTGGCATTGATATCTGACATCACAACAGAGAGACGAATCTGGCATTAATATTTGACATCACAACAGAGACACGAATCTGGCATTAATATTTGACATCACAACAGAGACACGAATCTTTCATTGGTATTTGACATCACAACAGAGAGACGAATCTGGCATTAATATTTGACATCACAACAGAGAGATGAATCTGGCATTGATATCTGACATCACAACAGAGACACGAATCTGGCATTGATATCTGACATCACAACAGAGAGACGAATTTGGCATTGATATTTGACATCACAACAGAGAGACGAATCTGGCATTAATATCTGACATCACAACAGAGAGATGAATTTGGCATTGATATCTGACATCACAACAGAGAGACGAATATGGCATTGATATCTGACATCACAGCAGAGAGACGAATCTGGCATTAATATCTGACATCACAACAGAGAGACGAATTTGGCATTGATATCTGACATCACAACAGAGAGACGAATCTGGCATTGATATCTGACATCACAGCAGAGAGACGAATCTGGCATTGATATTTGACATCACAACAGAGAGACGAATCTGGCATTAATATTTGACATCACAACAGAGACACGAATCTGGCATTGATATCTGACATCACAACAGAGAGATGAATCTGGCATTGATATCTGACATCACAACAGAGAGACGAATCTGGCATTGATATCTGACATCACAACAGAGAGATGAATCTGGCATTGATATCTGACATCACAACAGAGAGACGAATCTGGCATTGACATTTGATATCACAACAGAGAGACTGGATGTCAATGTCAGAAAGATGACTGTGATGTCAGAACCCTCTAAATCTTGTAATTTACAGATGGTAAATGGCCTGTATTTGCATAGCGCTTTACTAGTCCCTAAGGACCCCAAAGCACTTTACACATCCAGTCATCCACCCATTCACACACTGGTGATGGCAGCTACATTGTAGCCACAGCCACCCTGGGGCGCACTGACAGAGATATTTAATTCCAAATGATTTGACTGCATCATTGCGTCTTTGAGTTATGACCCAAACTCTCTATCAACTTTGTGAATAAATTCATGTCCCCCTGTGACCTCATAATTACACCACAGTTCAGATGGCATGAATGAGTCATGAGGTCACACCAACAGTGACAACATCAGCAGTGACATCACTAAAGTTGCCAGGTGAGTCCATAAATAGAACCGTGACGTGGAGCAGGTACCGCCGTTTTGGACAATGCCACGACGCAGGTATAGACGCAGACATGCGAGGTCTTCTCGCCCCGTTCGCAGACACAAGAGACCCCACAAGGCCTCGGGTGTCCGCAGACGTGGGAGAAGATACCGTCGCAGACATTAGACAATCTCAATAAACATGTAGGATGAACATCAAAACTTTGGTCCAATCAAGTTTTTTTTAGATAACATATGTTGTTGTTGTTCTGTGTGTGTTTGTTATCATGTTGTGGAAAAAAGTTAAGCTTAGTAAGCCATCAAGCACTGATCACTCGTAGAAGAGCACCAATAGGAGACAGAACTAATTAGAAGGTGTTATTATTCAGTCTGTACATCGAATAGAAGGCACTAACCACAAGGTGATCCTCAATTCATCTCTGTGTGAATGTGAACGGGGCGAGAAGACCCCCACTAACTGCATGTCCCTAGACTGTGGGAGGAAGCTCGAGAGAACATCCAGACTCCACACAAAGACCCCGGCCTGATGAGGCTAGGGTCCTGAGTTCGATACCCTAAACTGAACGCAGGACAGAGGAAGGGATGGGTGATGTTCATGTGGGCCCAGGTGTATGATGTGGCTCTTTGTCTGTGACTGGTTGGCTGTCCCAGCCCTGGCCCTTCATGTATTTCAGTAATGTCCTTTTCTCCCGTCTCGTTTCCATGTTTTTCCCTTGTGACCCATTCCTTCTGTCACGTGTGTTTCCCCCCCAGCCATCATGTTCTGCTTGTGCTTAGTTATGTCCATGTCTTATCTCCTGTCCCCTTTCCCCTCTGTATGTATTCACAGTGTACATGTTCCTCGTCGGTTCGTCATGCTAAGTCTGCGTGTCTTTTTCCGTCATGTGTCATGTATCACTCCAAATCTCACTGACTTTAACTAATAATAACTGTTTGCTGAGTGTTATGTCTAAAAGGTATTGCACAATCGCCTCTAGTAGAGGATCAGGTTTGTTTTCCACTGATAATGGATTTTAACATGACTGACCAATGATTGTGGAGCACGTCAATGTAGGATCTTATAAATACAACGAGCAAACTTAAATGTTTTAAAATGTTCAAAATATTAATATATTATATTTCTGAAGTATGACGGAAGGAAAAGTTAAATTTTTTTCATATTTTAAAAAAAAATCCATGGGTTTAATGGGTCCATCATCACTATATTGAGGGCCTTGTATAATAGCCCAACTGCAAAAGTAAAGATTAACGGTGAACTTTCAGATGCTTTCAAGCTTGAAAGGTCCACAAGACAAGGATGCCCACTGAGTCCACTCTTATTTGCTATTTTTATAGAGCCATTGGCTGAAAGGATTAGGCAGAATGGTAACATAAAAGGGATTAATATCACTGGAAGTGAGCAGAAATTGGCCTTGTTTGCAGATGACATTTTGGTTTACTTATCAAAACCTACCGAATCACTTATGGAGCTCATGTCAGTGTTAAAGGAGTATGGGCTATACTCGGGATATAAATTGAATATACAAAAAACACAAGTTCTTAGTAGCTTTTATAGCCCTCCCCAGAATCTGCTCAACAAATACAAACTAAGCTGGGACAAAAGAACTATCAAATATCTGGGCATAAACTTATCAATGGATATAACTAGCTTGGAAGAAATCAACTACCCCCTACTTAAAAAAGATATCATGCTAAATATTAGCAGATGGTCTATCTAAGCATTTCTTCTAGAGTGGACATCATAAAAATGAATATGCTCCCAAAGATATTAAACTTATTCCAGTCTGTTTCTATAGAAAACCCTGATAGATACTTTGTAGAGTGGGATAGGACCCTCTCAAGATTTATATGGACGGGTAAAAAGCCAAGAGTTAAGTTCAAAACACTTCAGCTTCCAAAGATAAAGGAGGATTAGGCATCCCTTGCCTACAGGATTACTACAGGGCAACACAAATAAGAAATCTGGTGGGCTGGTGTAAACCCGGATACTGTTCAACAGAGAGACGAATCTGGCTTTGATACTTGACATCACAACAGAGAGACGAATCTGGCATTAATATCTGACATCACAACAGAGAGACGAATCTGGCATTGATATCTGACATCACAACAGAGAGACGAATCTGGCATTAATATCTGACATCACAACAGAGAGACGAATCTGGCATTAATATTTGACATCACAACAGAGAGACGAATCTGGCATTGATATTTGACATCACAACAGAGAGGCGAATCTGGCATTGATATCTGACATCACAACAGAGAGACGAATTTGGCATTAATATTTGACATCACAACAGAGAGGCGAATCTGGCATTGATATCTGACATCACAACAGAGAGACGAATTTGGCATTGATATTTGACATCACAACAGAGAGGCGAATCTGGCATTAATATCTGACATCACAACAGAGAGACGAATTTGGCATTGATATCTGACATCACAACAGAGAGACGAATCTGGCATTAATATCTGACATCACAACAGAGACACGAATCTGGCATTAATATTTGACATCACAACATAGAGACGAATTTGGCATTGATATCTGACATCACAACAGAGAGACGAATCTGGCATTGATATCTGACATCACAACAGAGAGACGAATCTGGCATTAATATTTGACATCACAACAGAGACACGAATTTGGCATTGATATCTGACATCACAACAGAGAGACGAATCTGGCATTGATATCTGACATCACAACATAGAGACGAATTTGGCATTGATATCTGACATCACAACAGAGAGACGAATCTGGCATTGATATCTGACATCACAACAGAGAGACGAATCTGGCATTAATATTTGACATCACAACAGAGAGACGAATTTGGCATTGATATTTGACATCACAACAGAGAGACGAATCTGGCATTAATATTTGACATCACAACAGAGAGACGAATCTGGCATTGATATTTGACATCACAACAGAGACACGAATCTTTCATTGATATTTGACATCACAACAGAGAGACGAATCTGGCATTGATATCTGACATCACAACAGAGAGACGAATCTGGCATTGATATCTGACATCACAACAGAGAGATGAATCTGGCATTGATATTTGACATCACAACAGAGAGACGAATCTGGCATTGACATTTGACATCACAACAGAGAGACTGGATGTCATGTCAGAAAGATGACTGTGATGTCAGAACCCTCTAAATCTTGTAATTTACAGATGGTAAATGGCCTGTATTTGCATAGCGCTTTACTAGTCCCTAAGGACCCCAAAGCACTTTACACATCCAGTCATCCACCCATTCACACACTGGTGATGGCAGCTACATTGTAGCCACAGCCACCCTGGGGCGCACTGACAGAGATATTTAATTCCAAATGATTTGACTGCATCATTGCGTCTTTGAGTTATGACCCAAACTCTCTATCAACTTTGTGAATAAATTCACGTCCCCCTGTGACCTCATAATTACACCACAGTTCAGATGGCATGAATGAGTCATGAGGTCACACCAACAGTGACAACATCAGCAGTGACATCACTAAAGTTGCCAGGTGAGTCCATAAATAGAACCCGTGACGTGGAGCAGGTACCGCCGTTTTGGACAATGCCACGACGCAGGTATAGACGCAGACATGCGAGGTCTTCTCGCCCCGTTCGCAGACACAAGAGACCCACAAGGCCTCGGGTGTCCGCAGACGTGGGAGAAGATACCGTCGCAGACATTAGACAATCTCAATAAACATGTAGGATGAACATCAAAACTTTGGTCCAATCAAGTTTTTTTTAGATAACATATGTTGTTGTTGTTCTGTGTGTGTTTGTTATCAATGTTGTGGAAAAAAGTTAAGCTTAGTAAGCCATCAAGCACTGATCACTCGTAGAAGAGCACCAATAGGAGACAGAACTAATTAGAAGGTGTTATTATTCAGTCTGTACATCGAATAGAAGGCACTAACCACAAGGTGATCCTCAATTCATCTCTGTGTGAATGTGAACGGGGCGAGAAGACCCCCACTAACTGCATGTCCCTAGACTGTGGGAGGAAGCTCGAGAGAACATCCAGACTCCACACAAAGACCCCGGCCTGATGAGGCTAGGGTCCTGAGTTCGATACCCTAAACTGAACGCAGGACAGAGGAAGGGATGGGTGATGTTCATGTGCGCCCAGGTGTATGATGTGGCTCTTTGTCTGTGACTGGTTGGCTGTCCCAGCCCTGGCCCTTCATGTATTTCAGTAATGTCCTTTTCTCCCGTCTCGTTTACATTGTTTTTCCCTTGTGACCCATTCCTTCTGTCACGTGTGTTTCCCCCCCAGCCATCATGTTCTGCTTGTGCTTAGTTATGTCCATGTCTTATCTCCTGTCCCCTTTTCCCTCTGTATGTATTCACAGTGTACATGTTCCTCGTCGGTTCGTCATGCTAAGTCTGCGTGTCTTATTCCGTCATGTGTCATGTATCACTCCAAATCTCACTGACTTTAACTAATAATAACTGTTTGCTGAGTGTTATGTCTAAAAGGTATTGCACAATCGCCTCTAGTAGAGGATCACGTTTGTTTTCCACTGATAATGGATTTTAACATGACTGACCAATGATTGTGGAGCACGTCAATGTAGGATCTTATAAATACAACGAGCAAACTTAAATGTTTTAAAATGTTCAAAATATTAATATATTATATTTCTGAAGTATGACGGAAGGAAAAAGTTAAATTTTTTTCATATTTTAAAAAAAAATCCATGGGTTTAATGGGTCCATCATCACTATTGTGACGGAGTGACCCGTCTCAAGGCTTAGTCCGCTGAGTATGGCACCGCCACCATTAGATCGCCACCATTAGTTCGATTTGGCACCCGGGGCGGTGTATCTTTCTGACGACCGAGTAGAGGAATAAAAGGGGTGAGGAGCAAGTTGTGAGCCGCATCGGGGGTGGCTAGATTTTGGTTCCCACTTACTTGTTAAGGGCGTCGGTCGGGGAGACGTGCGGGGGGATCGCCAATCGTGCAGGGTGACGCAAGCCGATGGTATGGGGGTGTGGGGTTTAAATAATGAATTCACGTGTGTCTGGACCGTCATGAGAATGGCCTCATTACGTGGGCCGTTAATGTGTATATGAAGTCGGGTAGACTTCCGGGAAATAGTTGAGAGCCTGTATCAATGTATATGTTTTGTGAGTGTATAATGAAAAAGAAATTCTGGGGGAGGGAGACGGGATTAAAGTTAGAATAAAGAATTGGTGGTGACGCCAAGGGGGAGGGGTTACGGGATATAAGAGACGGCGAGCCGGATATGAAGGGGAGTGTGTTGTAACATACAGGCTGTGTAGCGCGGATCTCAGTTTTATGTCTTTGCAACCATCTTTTT